TACATGGACGACTACTTGGGCGGAGACGATGATATTAGCAGTGCTGCCAAATTGGCCAAAGATGTTACGTATGTACATTGGCAAGGTGGGTTTGAAATGTGCAATTGGATTTCAAACTCTCCAGAAGTTTTGGAGCAGATCAACCAGACAAAATGCGAAAAAAAGCCTATATCTGCTAAAAAAGTCAGGATTAGGATTAATTTAGGACTACGAAAAAGACAGTCTTGCCTACAATTTAAATTTTACTAAATCAACTATTAACTTTTGCAGTTGGAAAGGCGACCGACAGAACGCGAAGTGCTTAAAATTACAATGTCCGTTTTTGATCCATTAGGATTTCTTTCTAATTTACTCATTTCAAATAAGATACTGCTACAAGCAATCTGGGATAGTGGAGTCAGCTGGGACGATCCCATCAAACATTTCAATTGTTGGAAAGACTTGTGTAATTCCTTTGCCCAAATTAGTAACCTCAGTATACCAAGACTCATGACAACAATTCCAATAAAAGACTGTGAAATACAATTGCATATATTTTGCGATGCTTCTAAATATGCATATGCATCATGCGCGTACGTCCGATTCTAAAATGACAAAAAAACCGAGTGTAGTTTAATAACTGCAAAATCACGTGTAGCTCCACTTAAACCAATGTCAATTCCACGGTTGGAATTACAAGGTGCTTTATTGGGCGCCAGAATGAGCAAAATTATTAAAGAAACGTTGAATTTGAAAATAAGCAGAACGTATTTATGGACAGACTCGGAAATTGTTTTGTATTGGCTTAAATCTAGCAGCAAACGATTTAAAACATTTGTAGCCCAACGTTTAGGAGAATTACAAGAAATAACAAACGTAGCTGATGGGTACAGGTAGATTGGACAATCTGAATTACATCGAATATGACTATAACGCAAAAAATACAATTTTTTTATGCAAGGAACACCTGATCACAAATCATTTAGTATACCACTATCATCAGAAAAATTGTCATTTGGGCGTAGAAACTGTTATATCAAATCTTAGACAGAAATTCATCACAATCACAAAGTGCCGAAAAACTGTAAAAAAGGTTATACGAAACTGTCCATATTGCAAAAACGAAAGAGGACTGCCGCACAAATCGATAATAGGACAACTTCCAAAATGTATGATAGAACCGACTGAGAGAGCCTTTTTAAAAGTTGGTGTAGATTACTTTGGTAGATAGAAATAACAATAATCAGGAGTCACGTAAAGCGATATGGTGTTATATTTACATGCATATCATCGTGAGCAGTACATCTTGAGGAAGACCTTTCATGCAACTAATTTATGCATGTACTCCGACAGTTTGGTTGTAGACGCGGCTTTCCTATTGAAATGTAATGGATATTGGAACAAATTTTAAAAAAGCAAGCAAGGAAATTCAATTCAAGCTACTATATTGGACTGGCCCAAAGACAAGCTGTTGAAGTTTTTGACAACAAAACAATGCTCATGGTCTTTTAATCCACCCTTGAGTCCGCATATGGGAGGAGCTTGGGAAAGATTAATTCAATCGGCTACAAAATATTTATGTTTTCTGTTAAAAGAAAGATTTCCTAAAGAATACACATTAAAAACATTGTTTTGTGAAATATAGCACATGATAAATAGCCGACCACTTTTCAATGTACCATCCGACTCAATGGATTCGGTACCATTGACATCTAATGACATTTTGATTGGACCCATTTTTTGGGGATTCATTTTATTCAACAACAACTGATGGCGATTTGAAAGTGTTGAATATGTGGAACGCATCTCAAAGACTTGCCGATATATTTTGGTTAAAATGGAAAAAAGGTTATAGACAATATCTTTTGTACAGTCGTAAATGAACAAAAGAACAGAGTATGTTAAATGAAGGCGACATTGTATTGATAACGGATTCAGATCTACCCAGAAATATTTGGCCTAAGGGCATTATTGTAAAGACTGATGCGTTCGTATCGTAGATACAAGATTCAAGATACAAGATAAGATTTATATGAGACCCATGGTGAAGTTAATCAAGTTAGACGTTAAAAAAATATGTAATCTGAAATATGTGAAGTATTACTGCCACCAATTATGGATTAATTGGTTACTGTAGTACTTGGGAGGAGAATGTTGCGAAACCAAATGTTTAATTTTCAGAATTATTATTTTTTGAATATTAACGGTGTGATACTAGATGATCTTTTTAAGTATGACCGTGTTACAAATATGTATTTTTGATTTGACCGGAGTTGGCAGTCCGACCGCAGACTCCGACAAGAGATGAAGTGTGCGCGCGAAATATAAAAAGTTTATGAAGTAAAGTAAGAAGTTTGTGTTTTCTGGAATCTTTTGGATGACAAAGGATTTGGACGCCGATCGACAGAATGGTTCAAAGAGTAGGATCAACATGGTCCTGCGAATGATAATTCGGTCGTTCGAGTCGGATAACACAAGCCCTGCCTCTTTGTTAGGTGAACAATGTAACAATGGCTACAAGCCAGATCACACTGGCGACAATAAATATTATAGATTAATGAGATTATTTTGAATGATTTGCGTTTTTAATTTGTTTAACTTATTTGAACGCCAGTTGCTTCATGTTGCCAAAACATAGACCGGGCTGGCCTGTTAACAAAATGTTTTAAGTTGTTTTCTTTTTGGGACCAAGTACTGCTCCACAGGGCCGTGTCGTGGATTTGGACTCAAAGCTATCCAATTTTGAATAGGAAGACTGCTCGGAGGCGCCGTTTTACAACTTTTCCACGGGCGCACACCAATCAAAGAAGTCTGAAGATGTTATTCCCAGCCATGGTGAAATTACTAAATCTTGCATGATCGGAGGAGGAGGGCAATCAAAGAAATAAGTGCCGACAGCTTTGATTAAGCCCATATCTGCAGGAAAGAAACCATGACTGTAGTAATTCAATATAATCTCATTAATCTATAATAATTGTTAGTGGTCATTTATCTTTCAACTTTAGCGGCACTGTTGCCAATATTTTATTGAGACTTTACTCTCTGTTTGCTAGGTACCTTCTCGGAATATAAAACTTATCTATATTTGTCGAGCTGCTAGCAACATACCAACGAATACCGCAAAATACTATCGGCTGACTTTTAGATTTAATCGGCAAGTTTTTTTGTCGATCTGAGTACTGCCTGGCGTCACTAACCAAATAATCGGATCGGATCATTATTATAGCCACAATGGATAAATTAATTTCCAGTGGCTAAACCCACCCTGTCCCGCAGCTTTTGTTGTTCTTTTTACATTCTCTCATTCACACTCTGTTTCTGCTTCACTCGTCCCCTGCATCTGCCTTCCCCCTGGCGATTCCTCTTCCGACTTTTAACCCACCCCGTCCCGCAGCTTATATTTATTTTTTTTGTTGGTGTTCGTGTTGGTGTGAGAAGTGTTGTAGATGCAGATGACAGATGAAGAAAAAATTTAAAATTTGACATAACACAGGTGCAGATGTGGTCCTGAGTGCCGGGTATAAAAGTTGTGACGCGTAAAAAGCGTCTCACACGTCCCTTCTCGTTTTCTTTCTGCTGTGGTTCGTAATAAATATTTAATTTTGCTTAATTGAAAACGGCCCCGCCTTTAGCAGCGAATCAGTGATAATGAGGAAAAAGAATAATTGAAAATAAGGAAAATATCGGGACTACCTATTTTTTTTAGTCTTGTTTGAACAATTTTAGCTTATCAAATATTGCTGAGGGAACAATAGTGTTGTTGGGCACCATCTGTTCTTGTGGCTCACTTGACTCCTGATTTGTTTCGTCGAAGATGAGTGCATCAGTAGGAAAGATACTCTTAAAGTCCTTTTCTGAGATTAAGAAACATTTTTGTCACATGGACCGGCTTGTTTCACCAGGATAGTCGCTCGAGATGTACCGGTAAATTGATAAAGAAGTGGATTAGCCAACCGTTTTCACCTAAATTGAAAAAAAAAATGTATTACAAAGCTTTTGCAAGATTTTGTCTAATAGAAGTTTAGCCTATTCGAGGGATCGCTAAAACGGACCCTATTTTTCGGGTATTTACACAAAATAATTCATAAAAAAACCCTTTTTACTTAGAAGTCTAATTCCTTATATTTTAAATAAGGAATAGAGTCCAGAGTCCTGATTGGGAGTGTATACTAAAACTATCCTTTACTACGGTTGTTTAGCAGTACATTGTCAAACGCCATACCATTCCAGCTAAATCTTATTTTAATTTATTCTTATTTTGAAAACTAGCTAATCTTGTGGAAATGTGATTGATAAATTGGATAAAATTATGGTTTTAACACTGATAATCCTAACTATCTAGTAATATTAAATAGAACATCAAAATCTAGGAATATGATTTAAGATTTTCGGTATATTTGGAAGTGTGAACGTATATTTGTTTTGGTATATTTCTGGGGTATTTCTGTGCTCATATTTGACACGTAAAAATGAGGGAGAACGATAGAAAGTTGCTGACAGCCGGTTTTTATAGCTCGCTGGTATACAAAAATTCAAATACAAATGATAAATATAAAATATAGCTGTTAAGATATAAAATAAAGAAGACACCTTGAATTAGATTAGACGACGATATTGATTTCTCCATAATTTCAGATCTTTCTTTGCAAAAGAAGGAAGCAATCCCAAAAACCCAAATATGATGTAAAAATAAAAAAACTGTGAAATATTCCAAATCACAAAATAAATGTCTTCTTCGCTTTGTTAATATGTAATATGTACCTTGCAAAATGCAACTTAATTCTGGATACCTTCTTTGTTTAAAATCTGATGTGTATACACTCTAATAAAAAAGACTATAAAAAAAGCTAAAATGATTCTTGGATTCTAATTGTTAGAGTGCTTAAAGTCTTTGCAGGCAAGTAATGTTAATAGAAATTTTTCGGATATTTTTAAGAATTTCGGTATATTTTTGAGGGTCGAGCGGTATATATTATCTTTGATTTCGCGGTCACACTGCCCTAATATTCACAAAAACTCACAATTCACAAACAATTTTTTACCGCGAAACATGAAAAAACGGGGGAGCGTCGATTTTTTTTCTGAATTCAGAAAAATCCTTTGATGTAGTTGAAGAAAAGCATCCAAAGCGGCCCGAAAAAGTCCATTGATAATCTAAAAAATCATAAATAATAAAATCGAAATTTAAATAAAAGAAAGTGAGATGAGGTTTACTTCGATCGGGTTTTGATCAATTCTGTTGGTGTTGGTGTCAGCTATTTGTCGATAATCTGTTGCACTTTCGAGATTTGTTTGGGGTGGCACAAAAAAAAAAACACTCAACAACAGCGAGAAGGTCGCCGGTAAACATCAACAAAGTGAACGCGATGTATTAGTAGTGTGAGTGTTTATGTGCGCGTGTGGGGGTGTCAGCGTTTGCCCAAAAATATTTACCACTCAAACAACAGCAAACACCGGCAAAATATACCTATTTTTCGTTGTATTGGTTCTACTTTCGCTCTGCAATTTGCTTCCCGCCGCCCGGCACTTTTGTGATAAGCTTTTTCCGGGTTTAAAGCAAAAAAGCACCGACATGTATGCCCCCATGCAAAAAACAAAACAACAGCGGAATCACTGTTCGACCGGCGAAATAAGAACAGCAACAAATGCCCCCCATGTGATACTCAGCTGTCTCCTGCTCCTGTCCACCCACCCAGTGAGGGCCCAGGAGAGCATCGCACCTGTCTCACCTCAGGTGGCCGCTCTGGCAGCCCCGAGTCCCGCTGCCGGTGGCGCCCCTTCCATCCTCGATCAGTTCAGCCCCAACTGCAGCGCCGTGACGCACATCTTCCAGGGCAGAGGTATTGACGCCAATGAGATACCGCAAAAGCCCAGTAACGGTAAGTGTTTCGGAGCAGGTGCTTTCTTTATGGGAAAAGCGGAAACTGGAAAATACTGAATCGCGGTTATATTTTAGTTCATTTCTAATCAAAATATTTTTAAAAATGTACTCCTACTAGTTGCCCAACATTTCATAACATTGCTAAACCGCGAAAGATAAGAAAAGAAGCCCCGAAGACAGAAAAGAGCAAAGAACAAAGAGAATTTCGAATTGGGCGATCCCATGATTCATGTCGCGGCTGCAGCAGCCTTACTCCGCCTCTCTGCGGAGAAAATGAAATTCCACTCAAATCAACTCAAAAAAGATTCAACAGAGGGAGAGAAGACTCCAAATACCTTTACAGCCGGCGGCGATGAGCGATGAGAAAGAAGAGCAGAGCAGAACTCCCCGGTGGAGAGCGCTGTGTCCAGTCGGCGGGGCTGTTGGAACATGCGTGACTGCCCATTCCCCCACCCCTCTCCTTCACTCATCACAGCAAAGGGTTCCTGTTTCCAAGACCAGTCCAAGCAGAGCAGAAAAATCTCCAGAAATTCCTTTTCGATCGAAAAACAAGAATGAAAACCGGCTTAGGAAACCGAAACCTCCGGATACCCTTGGGAAACGACACGTGAATCGTAGATCAGTTTGATAACGTTACCGATCTTTCCTATTGGCCTTGATTTACGATCAATATCATTTCTATATTTAAAGTTATCTTCCATATCTTCTTTGCTAAATATGAAAGGGTATAATCATCGCAAGGGTCCAGAAATATTCCACACCTGGAAGGAAAAGGGCTCTTTATTTTTGGGAGTGCTAGATCAAGGAGGTTGTCACACCGCTTTTACAAGATGTTCTTGTTGCTCGAAGAAGATAAAGCCCATCAGGAGAGGCGGTGGTAGAGAATAGGGAGATCAAAGACATAATAATAAGAAGGATAACGCTCATATATTGAAAGGGCAGACTGCAAGCAAGATTTGGAGGAGCGGGTAAAAGCCAAAAAACCAACCAAATTCGTATAAATCTTTTCGAGTCGAAAATATTTTCATGAAATTTATTTTTCTTGAAAAAGTACTTTGTACTTTCTGTAAAAAATTCAGGCAGGTCAGAAATTTTGAGAAAATTGTACATATGGTTTTGGGGGCAAACATCTTCCGAAAGTGCATAGACTCATAACATGAGAGGTTTATTTCGACAGCACTATAAAATAACCTAAACATGAGAGCCTGGACCCAGCGGTAGTCAGGCGAAAGAATGAGTGTGCAAAAAAAATCGAATGGCTTTAACCATCTTTCTCTTATACTGTCTTGGTGAGACCTAGGCCTAGTATGAGAATGGACCCACTTTTAATGGTTTCGATCAGCCCGTGGCTTTTACTTAATTTGTATAAATCCTGAATTAATCACGCTTAATTCCAACGACTCTCGCTCTTTCGGTCTCCCGCTCTTGTGTGCACTTCTCTGATATTCTGTTTTTTTTTCGTTCCCTGCCCCACTCCCGCTTTCTATCCCATTCGCCTTGTTTGATTTGCGGCCAGGTAAACTGTTGCAGCCTCTGTCTCTCTCCCTCTTTCTGTCACTGTTTCACTCTGTCCGTTTACCTGAGTGTTTCTTTTGTTTATTTTTGGTTTTCAGCATTTCTTGATTTGTTTTATACCCTGTACTCGGAGGCTACTCAGTCTCATGGGTATATTGTATTAAATGTACATAAAGATATACACACCTACATACATATGTGCATACTATATTCTTGAAATATATTCCACGGCCACAACAAACAAAGAAGATCATAAAACCAGTTACATTGCTATAATTTTTGCAATCGGAATTTGGAATTGAAATTTTAAACTATTACGCCACGTTGTACATACATATGTACATGTAATATTTGTTTGAATCTTCCGCCTCGGATTCTTATTCGAGGGTATCTGTTAGCTGAAATGCTAGTATCCTCCTTTCTTACTTTTATCTTTTGGTCAAATGCATTGCGTTTTCGTTCACAATTTCATGGAAATGCATAGGGAAAGGCTCTGAAGTCGGAGGGGGAAAGCAGCGCTTCAGGTATAGAAGTGTAATAGTTTTTATGGGGAATGGTCAGTGTTCTCTTGCGTTCTTTTTTGTGTTGGCCTTTGATATTAATCAAGGTGTCATTGAAATCGTTTAAATTATGCAGCTTGAGATTTTTGATTTGCCTACGTACATAAATATGTACATATATACGTACATACATGTGTATGTAACTGTGTATGTATGGGCTCAGTGTAGGTATTCTTATGTGAACCTTGGATGTCTATCGCCCTCTCACTCTCTCCCTTTCTCATTCACAATATCAATAACTAATCCAGACTATCTCTACTCTTTTGCTCTTTTTACTCTTTCGCTTTTTTCTCCAAGCGCCCTGTGAGTCATAAATCTCACCATCGACAGAGGGCGCTGGCTGTTTTCTCCACCAAATGCTCTCAAATGCTTCTCTTCTCCTCACCTTATCCCCGTTCTTCTGATAAGCGCCTGCATTAAGATACAGTCCCTTCCGAATTGGACCCGATACCAGGCCTCAACTGTAAAGGTATGTAGGTTAGTTTTTCTTGTGAAGCTGTTTGCGTAGTAATTGGGGTGGGGGGCTAATAAAGCGATATTTCCATTTCCGATAAGTAAAATAAGCAATACGAACTTTTGCTTGAGCGCAGACTTATTGGGGCCGCTCTATTGCCTGAGGGAAGTTGTTTAACATACCTATATAAGTATATATTTAGTAAGCGTTTATAGTTTTTATTCAGAGGAATGTGAAACATTTCCCCACTTCTTTTGTTTTCTCTTGATGCATTCTCTGACTCTCACGGAACCGCGCAGAACGGAGCCGAACACCTTCCATGCAAGTGCAGCCACAACATCTGCCACTTAAACTCTTTATTAAATGTGCACTTCCTGTGGAATATCAAAAAGCTCTCTTCTCATCAAGTTTCCTTATCCTCATCTTCTTCCTATCCTACGCCCTCTCCGTCTACCTCAACAAAATCAGTGGTAGGCAGGTACTTAGCTGAAATTGTTTGCACAATTTAAAAAGTTTACAAAACATTAAATCGTTAGAAATAATATCAGCGCAAAAGATAGAGACGGAGCAAGAGCAATCTCGTTCTCACACGAGAAAGATTGAGCGTTCCCCTTGCTTTCTTGGCCTGTTCCTGCCTCTTTCTTTGCCAACAGAAACTTTGCAGTTGAACTTAAGCCAAATCCGGAGACTGTGACTGCGATTGCGGCTACTCCATTTTGTCGGCGGTGCTGGGCTTTTCTCAGAGGACCCAGAGAAGTGGTTGCTGTTACTGGAGAGGAAGTTGGCAGAGTGGCCAATTCAGTCCCGCATGACTATTAATTATTTTCCAGAACCGAAAACCTAATGGAAGATACTCGTACCTCTGCACCTCTTTCGGTATGCCTTTTTATACCCGGTACTCGAAGAGTAAATAGGGTATATTGTATTTGTGGGGAATAACGGTTGTATGTAACGCACAGAAGGAAACGTTTCCGACCCCATAAAGTATATATATTCTTGATCAGCATCAATATACGAGTCGATAGAGCCATGTCTGTCTGTCCGTCCGTCCGTCTGTCCGTCTTGTTTGTCGGCTAGTTCTCAGAGACTATAAGAGCTAGAGCCATCAAATTTTGGCTCCAGACTGCTGTATGCTCACACTGAAACCAGTGTATTTAAAAAAATGAGCCACGCCCCCTTCCGCCCCCGCAAAAGGGCGAAAACCTCCCAAATCTACAGTTTTGAAGATAAAGGAAAACTAAAAACGCCATTCCGTAGAGAATGGCCATATCTATCAGATCTATCAGATTAAGATCCGATTGGATCAATATTATAGCCACAATGAAGAAATTAATTTCCAGTGGCTCAACCCACCCTGTCCCGCAGCATTTGTTGTTCTTTTTACATTCTCTCATTCACACTCTGCTTCTGCTTTACTCGGCCCCTGCCTCTGCCCTCCCCCTGCCGATTCCTCTTCCGACTTTTAACCCACCCCGTCCCGCAGCTTTTATTTGTTTGTTTTTTTTTGTGTGCGGACGGTGATCTGCCTCGAGTCTGCAGTGTGTGGGTCTAGGGAAGGGCGGCGAGCTTACGGAGCGTGTTGGTGTGAGAAGTGTTGTAGATGTAGATGACAGATGAAGAAAAAATGAAAAATTTGACAAAACACCGCTAAGGTGCAGATGTAGTACTGAGTGCCGGGTATACATTTTATTGACAAAAGTTTAAGTAGTTTTGGATGATATCTCTAGATCTTAAGATCTATTAAATTAATCCTCATTAATTTATCTTTAATGAGCCATAAATTCCTAACCCAATTATTAAATCAGTTGATTTACTAAAAGATCTCAAGTATTTCGCCTACAAATTCTGGCTCTGGATCGGAGAGGTAGGAGGCCTGACAGGTCTTTGTAACACTCTGGAAGAACAGCGATCTGATCTTCTGAAAATCGCACAATTACCTAACATAAATGGGTAGAGTTACGAGTGTGGATTTCTGAAAAGGAACGATGGAGCTGTGACAACAAAAGTCAAAACGTCAGCAAAATTTCGAAGACTGAATCATGCTCATGAAAGAAAACATACAGAAATGTACAGGCGTACTCTTAGATCGAGCATGGTTCGATGGTAAGATGGATGGAGTAAGTAGGTAAGGGATAAAATGAATGAAAACGAAATTAGAATGCTGACCTCTGTCTCTCTCTCTCTCTCTCTGGACAAAAAATTAATTGCTGGTGTCGGCGAAGGATACCAAAAAAAGAGGCAGAACTCGAAACAATTTCCCAGACCCAGACGAAGACGCAGGAACATTCCCAGAGTCATTCCTAGGAGCCTCAGCGGGTCAAACTCGGGCACTTTATTGAGAGAAGATGCTTGTGTGGTCTTAACTCTGCCTCTTTCCCGCATCTCCTTCACTCTGTTTCTATCTCTGTCCCTCTGTCCGTCAACCAACTCCTCAAACAAGTTCTTGCGTGCATGCATTCCATTTTCCAT